GCTCTGGCCCTGGGAACTAACAACCTGGACGTCCACTCAAGAGACCTAATCTGAAAGTTGGTAAATTCAAAGACGGCAGGAGGATAAATTTACAATGACGGGAAGAAACCAGCGTAAAAAAGCTGACAACACTCAAAATCAGAACGCCTCTCCCTCTAAAGATGATCACAGTTCCGCATCAACAATGGAACAAGGCTTGATGGAGAATGAGCGCACCCTGATGACAGAATCACTCTTCAAGGAAGGGATAATAACAAACTTCAGTGAGTTAAAAGAACACGTTGTAGCCCAATGTAAAGAAACTAGGAACTTTGAAAAAAGGTTTGATGAAATCCTATTGAGAATAGACAACTTAGAGAGGAGTATGAGTGAATTAATGGAACTGAAGAATACAATACAGGAACTCCGAGAAGTATTCACAGGTTTAAACACTCGAATTGTTCAAGCAGAAGAAAGGATATTAGAGGTCAAAGTCCAACTCAATGAAATAAAACGTGAAGAAAAGATTAGAGAAAAAAGGATAAAAAGGAATGAGCAAAGTCTCCAAGAAATGTGGGACTATGTGAAAAGACCAAATCTACGTTTGATAGGTGTACCTGAATGCGACGGAGAGAATGAATCCAAGCTGGAAAATACCCTTCAGCATATTATTCAGGAAAATTTTCCTAAACTAGCAAAGCAGGTCAACATTCAACCCCAGGTAATACAGAGAACACTGCAAAGATATTCCTCAAGAAGAGCAATCCCAAGGTACATAATCGTTAGAGTCACCAGAGTTGAAACGAAGGAGAAAATACTAAGGGCAGCCAGAGAGAAAGGTCATGTTACCCACAAAGGCAAGGCCATCAGACTTACAGCAGATCTCTCAGCAGAAACTCGACAAGCCAGAAGAGAGTGGGGGCCAATATTCAACATCTTCAAAGAACAGAACCTTCAGCCCAGAATTTCATATCCAGCCAAACTAAGCTTCACAACTGAAGGAAAAATAAAATCTTTTATGAACAAGCAAGAACTCAGAGATTTTATTACCACCAGGCCTGCTTTACAAGAGCTTCTGAAAGAAGCATTACACACAGAAAGAAACAACCAGTATTAGCCTTTCTAAAAATACACCAAAAAGTAAAGAGCACCAACATAAAGAAGAATTTACACCAACGAATGGATAAAACAGCCGGTCAACATCAAATGGCAGTAACCCTAAATTTAAATTGACTAAATCCCCCAATCAAAAGACACAGCCAAAACCCAATGGCATGTTACATTCAGACCTGTTTCACATGCAAGGATACACAAAGACTCAAAACAAAGGGATGGAAAAAGATTTACCAACCAAATGGAGAGCAAAAATAAATAATAAATAAAAAGCAGGAGTTGCAATTCTCGTATCGGATAAAATAGATTTTAAAGCTACAAAGATATAGTGGTAAAAGGATCAATGCAACAACAAGAGCTAACGATCCTAACACCCAGATACATAGAGACTTAGATTCAATGAGACAGAAAATTAAGGATATCAAGGACTCGAACTCAGATCCGGAACAAGTAAACTTAATAAATATTTATAGAGCTCTCCACTTCAAACACACAAAATATACATTCTTGTCAATACCACATCACACCTACCCATAAGTTTAAATGAAACATTGATTGGCCATTATTAATACCCATTTTTTTTCAAAATAAAGCAATATTTCCATTTACTCTCCCTCTTTCTCTTCCTCTTTCTTCCTCTTCCTCTTTCTTCCTCTCCTTTACTTATTTTTTTTTTTTCTTTTCTTCTCTCAAAAAAAAAAGAAATCAACTTGTAAACCTCTAGATCCAGGTCGGCAATGTCTCTCTCATTGCTTGATTTCCTTCCTTCCCTTCCCTCCCTCCCTCCCCTCTTCCTCCCTTCCTTCCTTCCTTCATCCCTTCCTTCATCCCTACCGTCCTTCTTCTCTCCCTTCCTGCCTTCCTCCCCCCCCAAAAAAAAAAATAGTTGTCATTTTACACTCCCAAAAGTGGGTAAAAAGATTTCAGTTGTTCCACGTTTTTGCTTGACAATTGGTATTTTCAATATTCTGTATTATAGAAATTCTAAAATGTATGTAATGGTGTCCGTCATGGTTCTGTTGATGTTCGTCATTCATCTTTTTTCTGTGTTTATTGGTGCGTGTGTGTGTATGTGTGTGTGTGTATTTGTCTGTGTGTATCTTGTGTATTTGAGAGTAAGAAAATTCTGATCCAGTATATTGCTTTTCTTCATTGGGTAATTGAACTTCTAATTAGTTATTTGTCAGAATTCTTTATATATTCTGGATATAAAAAATGCCATATGCAATACACATGATACAAATATTTTTCTCAATCTGTAGCATGTATTTTAATTTTCTTAATGTTGTATTTTTTAAAGCTCGAGCTTTTAATTTTGATATTTTGATAATATTTAATGTATCTGGTTTTTTTCCCTTTGGTGTTTCTGTTTCTTGTGCTCTTTAAAAAAAAATCCTAATGTAACAAATATTTTCTCATAAAATTTTTACTGTTTTAATTTTATATTTAGGTGTATGATCTATCCTGAGTTAATCTATGGCATTCAGGAAGGTTTAATGTTTATTTTTTTTACATGAGGATTCTGAGTTGCTCTGGCATCATTCATTGAAAAGACTTTCCTCACTAAATTGCCTTACACCTCTGTTGAAAATCAATGGACCACATAGAATATGTCAGGTGAAGCTTATAGGTAAGTATAATTAAGGCAGTTCAAAAGTGGGCTTTACTGAGACCTAGCTTATCTTTATTACTAAGGCATGAGATTTTGAGACCTTTACTGGAGGTCTCAACTGTTCTGTGGCATTTATCCACCCCAGCTCCTTCAGACTCAAACATCTTCCAACCTCCTGTGAGTTCTAGGAATTATTTAGCTAAGAGCCTCCTCGTACTCTTTTGCCCAGTCTTGTAGAGTTTCACCTTATGCTTACACGTCAGTAATCTGCTCATTATGCAAAGGTTCCCATATGGATGTTTCTGGAACTCTTTCTCTAAATGGATGTTCCTCTCCAGCATTTTGCTGCATTAATTATAGTTGCTTCAGCCTCTTCAAACTTCAGTTATACTCTCCTCAGCCCAACAGGACTACTGTGATATCCTTGAGTTTCTTCTGTAAGATGGAAATGATTCTGAGCTAATGAATGGATAATGATGACTAATATGAAAAATGGGTAGAAAAAAAGGTTTGCTGTGATAGCCCTTCAGCCCTTTGATGTGTAAAATGACCCATCATTGTAAATAATTCTTAGTTCCAAATATACGTTACTTTCTCTACAGAAATCACATTAACATTGGAATAATGAGACTCATATGTCATGAAGATGTACTTGTATTAGTCCATATTACACATATATTAGTTGAAAACCTCTTATTTCTCAGAATTAAAATTTGAAACAGTAAATATATGATTTTTTTAATACCACAAAAAAAAAATTCTGAATCCTTCACAAAAGGAAATATTGGTGGCCGGGCGTGGTGGCTCATGCCTGTAATACTAACACTAAGAAGGGCAGATTGCCTGAGCTCAGGAGTTTGAGACCAGCCTGGGAAACATGGCAAAACCCCATCTCTACTAAAAATACAAAAAATTAGCCAGGTGTAGTGGTGTGTTCCTGAATCCAGCTACTTGGGAGGCTGAGATCTGAGAATCACTTGAACCTCGGAGGCAGAAGTTGAAGTGACACAAGATTGTGCTACTGCACTCCATTCTGGGCAACAAAGCGAAACTCTGTCTCCAAAAAAAAAAAAAAAAAAGGAAGAAAGAAAGAAAAGAAAAGAAATATTGTTGGACTGGATTGGAAAGGTGTAAGGGGAGTTTAAGGAGCTTGAGACCCATTCGTTTTGGTACTAAATGTGAGAATTGTACTTCCTCTCAGTAATGCTGTAGTGCCTTGTGCTTGTCCCTAGCTTAGCCCTCTTTGCTTGCTGTAATTAATTATTTATTTATTTATCTCATCTTCTAAACATCGAGCTTTTATCAGAAAGAAGTCAGTAGCTCTAAACTTTCTGAAAATCAAAGAAATCACATAAACTGATTGCAAAATATTCCAAGCTCCACCTAAAATATTTCTTATATAGGAGATCCTAGGGTAAAGCCCCAAAATATGCATCTTCACGTGCACCTGAGGTGGCTCAGATGTATCTGGGTTCATAAATCACCATCGGTACAGATGAAGCCATCATTGTGCCACCTTCCCCACCAAAACCCTCACCAGAGTGCCTGAAGTATTATAGGTACTCAATGTATATTCATTAAATTAATGGACTGATGAATGCCCTGATGAATGTCTACATTGATTAATGTATTTGAAGAGATAAATCAAGCATGTGGAGGAATGTAGAAAAGGTTAGAGTGTATGCCCTCTTATAATTCCAGTGTACCTTATTCATAAAAGCAAGAGAGTTATAGAAAAAATAATCTCATAATTCAACTAACAACTTTAAGAAGGAAGAAAAAATTTGTCACGAACGTCATTTTATTTTATCCCTTAAAACAGTTCATCTATATTTAGCATCTATAAAGCTAATGATTAAGAAAGTCACAATCATCACTTCATTCAGCAAATGTAATCTTGCTCCAAAATGAATGACCAATGCAAAAAATTATAATATTTAAAGCTATTCATCTTTTACCCAGATCAAGTAAACAACATAATTTAGCTACTCAGTTTTTTTTTTCTTTCTGAATATTACATTTTTAATGCCTAGAGTCCAAGGAAGAACCTTCCTCCAAGGCCTCAATCCCCTGAGGCACCACAACTGTATAAGACCCAGGGATTTTGCTGGAGCTTGTGCTGTCAAGGGCACAGAGCTGCTAAGATCGGGGCTGTACAGTTACTTCCAGCTCAGAGACCAGGCAGAGCTGTCTTTCATCATTAAAAGCAAATGGCCTCTGGACTTTCCCCAGTAAGATCTAGGAGAAATACGTTACCTGATAGTTTTTCAATGTTTACCTATTTCTCTCTCCTTAGACTTTGATGGGATATGAGATAAAAAGGAACATGGAATTGTCCTAAAACTGCCTGTGGATGTAAGTATCTCCTTTGGACTATAGATGTAGGACTCTACCTTCTTTCTTATGAGTAATATCTGTCAATTTTCTCTAAAAATATTATAAGTACCAAAGAAAGATTCAGAGGCAGAAAAATTCACAGAAACCATACACTGGTGAAGTAGGCTCATAGCATCAGAATCCAGCATGAGAGACAGAACAGGGATTATATGGAGAGGGCAAAGATGCAGCACGCAAACCCTGACCATGTGAGCATGGGAGAGAGAGTAAATGCAGAGAATAACTAAGAGTGTAAACAGCAATATCTTCCTAAAATAGACCTAAACTAGGAAATAGGGAGAAAATGCCTAATATGTACCTTGGCATCAGGAAAAATATACGGTGGAGTAAGGTGGAAGGATAAGAGATGGGAGTGGATGGAAGAGTGGAACAGAAAGCCTGTGGGGATCATACAGAGTAAAGAAGACATCGATCTATTTCCTAAGTCACTGGTGTATAAACTCACACCAGTTTATACAAAGGAAATAATAAAACTAGAACCCAGATAATTCAAAAGACAAAACCCTAGATGGGAGAGTTAAGGTATTTGGGATACAGTTCCTGCCTCATAGCTTATGCAACCTACATCTTGAGATTTTACTTCTCTGGGCCTCTTTTTCTTCGTTTGTAATGTGAGGGGGCTTGACTAGATGTTTAACAGCCTATATGTATTGACCACTTATACATCAAGAACTTCACTGTGGGTGTCTGGTTCTCTCACAAACATTTTGCTGTATACCATTATTATGGCCATTTTAGAGATTAAATCATGAGACCCAAAGTGATCTCCCCAACATTATAAATTGGCAAAGCCATGGTCTCCACCTAGGCAGTCTGACTCCAGAGCCTGTGTCCTTCCCAGCCTGACTATGCTGCCATTCTAATCAATGATCCCAGAGCAAACTGACAGAGAAGTAAATTCAAACAGGAAACAGGCATTGACAGCTACACAGGGAAGCCTCCCAGGGGATAAATAATAAGCTGAGGTTTTGTAGGCAAGATAAATACTAATTGTGAGGAATAACAAAAATAGAAAAGAAAATGTTGTGTGTAGAGGCAGAGAGACAAAGTTAGTTATGTGTGATGGCTGCAGCCAACCAGCTTGTCTACAGCTGAGGGGCAGATGTATGACCTAAAGCTAAGAACAAACCCACCTAAGATGTTAATTAGGACAGAGAAAATTCCAGAAACATTGCCATAAAATATATATTAAATAGTTAGAAGGAAAACTAGACCTATAAAGAGATATGATCATTTTATTTCAATAACTAAAGGCTGGCTGTCATTCATAGAAATAAGTTAACATTTTTGTATCTGCAGAGGACAAATCAGAAACAATGGGTGACTATTTCAAGGAGGCATAGTTCAGCTCAGAAGTAGCCAACTAAACTATCTAGCAAGGGAACAGCCTGCTTTGGAAGTCAGTGACTCCTTGAAATTTGTCCTTGACTGTGGAGGTTGGACAATACTTCCCACATTGCTATAAAGAGGTTCACAGAATTGTATGCAAGTTGAGTTAGATTTTTTATCTTTTTACTAAAATCAAAATGATTTGATATAAAAGTTTTAGCATTTATTTGATCTTCCTATCAGACCACAGATCTTCTCACAGATAATGATGAAAGTTCTTAGATCATTATGCAGGCAACGGAGACTGAGGCCTGGGCCAAAAACGTGGCAATCTCAGCCCACGTCTCATAATGCTCTGAGGTTAATTCGATTCTTAATCTCAGATTCCCACGCACTCATGATAAGAGAAACCCCAATATGTGAGCCATCCCAAAGTCTTCACAATTGATCATGGGTAAGTTAAATAGAATCTGAATACTTTTAAGGAAATCTGAACAAGCATTATTTGAGTTCTGTATATGAGAGACTGGGTACATCACTTTTTATTTGTTTTGTTTGTTTTTCTGAATCAGATTTGTATAAGGTGTTAGCAAAGATAAGTGATTTTTAAGAACTATCATTGTCATGTGAATGAGCAAATAGTTTAATCTTTTTGAGCTTTATTTTCTTCTATAAAATGAGAGTATTTAATGAGATATGGTCTAAATCACATTTTGATTTTACAGTATGAACATTCTAGGCAAATAGGAATACAGAGAATGGAAATAACGTACAAAAGTAAAAATAAATAATTTCTTACAAAGGTAAACATAAATAATTTCAGGTATCTTCGAATTGGGGTATGTCACAGTTCATGTTCCTTGATGCTTCCATATACCCTGATCTATGTACTTAATGTGTGTTACGTATTTTTTCAGACCAGTATTGTCAGCTTTTTAAAGAAATGCAAACAGTGTTTCTCTAGGGTTATTTCACTTTTGTCAAATTCTCTCTCCTCTCAATTTCAGGTTACCTAAGTCTAATTCCACTGACCAATGAAGAGACAGAACCAGAGCGTGATTACTGAGTTCATCCTTACAGGCTTCTCAAACCTGGGGGATCTGCAGCTCCTTCTCTTCTTTATCTTCCTTTTAGTCTACTTGACCACTCTGATGGCCAACGCCACCATCATGACAGTCATTCGCCTGGACAGGGCTTTGCACACCCCCATGTACTTCTTCCTCTTTGTCCTTTCATGCTCTGAAACCTGCTACACTTTGGTCATTGTACCCAAAATGCTAACCAACCTGCTATTCACAATTCCAACTATTTCTTTCTCTGGGTGTGCAGTCCAGCTCTATTTCTTTGTGGGCTTGGCTTGTACCAACTGTTTTCTCATTGCTGTGATGGGCTATGATCGTTATGTTGCCATCTGCAACCCTCTTAACTACACACTCATTGTCAGCCAAGCCACCTGCATGCAGCTGATTCTAGCCTCCAGCTTTTGTGGCTTCCTGATCTCTGTGATTGTCAGTATCCTGGTGTTCAGTGTGCGCTTCTGTGCCTCCAATAGGATCAATCACTTTTTCTGTGACGTTTCCCCTGTCATAAAACTGGGCTGCACAGATACCAACGTGAAGGAGATGGTCATCTTTTTCCTCAGCATTCTGGTATTGCTGGTTCCCCTTGTGTTGATATTCATCTCCTATGTCTTCATAGTTTCCACCATTCTCAAGATCTCCTCGATGGAAGGACAGCGTAAAGCCTTCGCCACCTGTGCTTCGCACCTCACAGTGGTCATTGTCCACTATGGCTGTGCTTCCTTTATCTACTTGAGGCCCACATCCCTGTACTCTTCAGATAAGGACTGGCTTGTGGCAGTGACTTATACGGTGATTACCCCACTACTCAACCCTCTTGTCTACACACTGAGAAATAAAGAAGTAAAGATGGCTCTGAGAAAGGTTCTGAGTAGATACTCATATTTTAAAACTGTATGAGTGGGCAGATTTGGCAGTAAATTATATTCATGAAAGTTTCCTAGGTAGAACTTCAGTTCTATAAACATATTTGTCCTTTTTTTAATTGCATTTTAGGTTTTGGGGTACATGTGCAGAACATGAAAGATAGTTGCATAGGTACACACGTGGCAGTGTGCTTTCCTGCCTTCCTCCCCTTCACCCACATCTGGCATTTCTCCCCATGCTATCCCTCCCCAGCTCCCCCCGATGCTGTCCCACCCCTATTCCCCCCAATAGACCCCAGTGTGTAGTGCTCCCCTCCCTGTGTCCATGTGTTCTCATAGTTCATCACCTACCTATGGGTAAGAATATGCGGTATTTCATTTTCTGTTCCTGTGTTTGCTGAGAATGATGTTCTCCAGATTCATCCATGTCCTTACAAAGGACACAAGTTCATTGTTTTTGATGGCTGCATAATATTCCATGGTGTATATGTGCCACATTTTTCCAGTCCAGTCTATCATCGATGGGCATTTGGGTTGGTTCCAGGTCTTTGCTGTTGTAAACAGTGCTGCAGTGAACATTCGTGTGCATGTGTCCTTATAGTAGAACGATTTATAATCCTTTGGATATATACCCAGTAATGGGATTGCTGGGTCAACTGAAATTTCTATTAATAGGTCTTTGAGGAATCACCACACTGTCTTCCACAATGGTTGAACTAATTTACACTCCCACCAGCAGTGTAAAAATATTCCTATTTCTCCTGTTGTCTCCAGATTTTTTTAATGATCGCCATTCTAACTGGCATGAGATGGTATCTCAATGTAGTTTTGATTTGCATTTCTCTGATGACCAGTGATGATGAGCATTTTTTCATATGATTGTTGGCCTCATGTATGTCTTCTTTTGTAAAGTGTCTGTTCATATCCTTTGCCCATTTTTGAATGGGCTTGTTTGTTTTTTTCCTGTAAATCTGTTTGAGTTCTTTGTAAATTCTGGATATCAGCCCTTTGTCAGATGGGTAAACTGCAAAAATTTTTTCCCATTCTGTTGGTTGCCGATTCACTCTAGTGACTGTTTCTTTTGCCGTGCAGAAGCTGTGGAGTTTGATTAGGTCCCATTTGTCTATTTTGGCTTTTGCTGCCAATGCTTTTGGTGTTTTGGTCATGAAGTCCTTGCCTACTCCTATGTCCTGAATGGTTTTGCCCAGATTTTCTTCTAGGGTTTTTATGGTGCCAGATCTTACATTTAAGTCTTTAATCCATCTGGAGTTAATTTTAGTTTAAGGTGTCAGGAATGGGTCCAGCTTCTGCGTTCTGCACATGGCTAGCCAGTTTTCCCAGCATCGTTTATTAAACAGGGAATCCTTTCCCCATTGCTTGTTTTTGTCAGGTTTATCAAAGATTGTATGGTTGTAGATATGTTGTGTTGCCTCCGATGCCTCTGTTCTGTTCCATTGGTCTATATCTCTGTTTTGGTACCAGAACCATGCTGTTTTGATTACTGTAGCCTTGTAGTATAGTTTGAAGTCCTGTAGTGTGATGCCTCCTACTGTGTTCTTTTTGCTTAGAATTGACTTGGCTATGCGGGCTCTCTTTTGGTTCCATATGAAGTTCAGGGTGGTTTTTTCCAGTTCTGTGAAGAAAGTCAATGGTAGCTTGATGGGGATAGTGTTGAGTCTGTAAATTACTTTTGGCAGTATGGCCATTTTCACAATATTGATTCTTCCTAACCATGAACATGGAATGTTTCTTTGTTTGTGTGTCCTTTTCTTAAGACTCCTTGACAGAAAAAAAAGAAAGAAAGCAAGCAAGAAAGAAGGACTTTAGGTGACCTTGATTGTTTGTATTGAAAATTTCTTTTTCAAATTAGCCTATATCCAGTGCAAAAGTTATACCAGTTGGTCTCCAGAAAATTATGTAAACATTGAAACTTTCCAGAACACAAGCTACATTGCTTTTATGCATTGCAAATATTTGTTTTGTGAGATCGATGCTACAAATGCTGCATTATCTTTTTTAGAATAAATGGACTGTTAATACTCCTTTTATGATGAATATTTTCTAGAAATAATTTACCACAGTTATTTTTATTGAACTTATATATACACACACATGCACACATACATACATATACATACATGTGTGTGTATATATGAAAAAGTGTATGCGTGTGTGTGTGTGTATAAAGTTTAACCCATTTCCTGTTTACAAAAAAAAAAAAGTGGAGTTCTGTGCCCATACAGTATTCTCAGCAAATGGGAAGTCGGTTAAAGCAATGGTTTAATCTCTTTGATCCTCATTTTCTTCTTCCATAAAACAACAATATTAGATAAGATGAGCTTTACATGACATTTTGATTTTACAGTATAAACCTTCTATGTACATAGTAATATAAATAATCGAAATAATTTACAAAAATAAAGATAAATTACTTCAGATGTCTTTGAATTGGGATAGGTCACTGTTCATATCTCCTGATCCTTCCCTATCCCTGGATCTACATACATACATACATAGATGGATGATAGATACAAAGAAATATATGCAATAAATTATTTCTAAATAATAAACATAAATTTACTTCTAGAAAATGAGAGGGTGGTGATTAAAGTTCTAAAAGGTCGATGACAAAGTAGAAAACACAGATGTTGAAGTCTCAAAGACCTGGGTTTTAATTTTTATTTACTCTCAAACATAAAACTGAGAATAGTAGAAACTATCTTAATTTGAGAGTATCTTTGAAAATTTATAATAATGATAAAATAGAGGAAATTTTCCCATTGATATCATTAATGAGACAACAGTGCCCACTATCTCTGCTTCTATTGAATATTTTTATTAGAGATATTTCTTAATATAAGGAAAACACACAAAATAGTAGTTGCTGCTTGTAACAGAAATTACATAGTAATATTGCTGTTGCTTTCTTTTTTTTTGGAGATGGAGTTTCATTTCTTTTACCTAGGCTGCAGTGCAATGACATGTTCTCAGCTCACTGCAACCTCCGCCTCCCAGATTCAAGTGATTATGCTGCCTCAGCCTCCCGAGTAGCTGGCATTACAGCCCACCACCACTGCACCCAGATAATTTTTGTATTTTTAATAGAGATGAGGTTTCACCATGTTGGCCTGGCTGGTCTCGAACTCCTGACCTCAGGTGATCCACCTGCAGTGGCCTCCCAACATGTTGGGATTACAGGCATGAGCCACTACACCCGGCCACTGATTGTTTTCTTTGCTCTTCAGAACTTATGTAATTTAATGTAGTCCCCGTGTCTTATTTTTGCTTTTGTTGTCTTTACTTTTGGTACCATATCTAAAATACCACTGCCATAGCCAATGTCAGGGAACTTGTCCCTTTTGTTTTCTTCTAGAAATTTTACAGTTTAAACCTTTAACTAAGTCTGACATGTAAGCCTTTAATCAATTTTTAGTTGATTTTTTGTGTATGGTATAAAAGTCTGGTTTCATTCTTTTGCATGTGGAGATCCCATATTCCTAGCACCATTTGTTGAAGCAGCTGTCCTTTCCCCATTGTGTATCCTTTGCACCCTTGACAAAGATCAATTAACCATAGATGCATAAATTTATTTCTAGGCTCTCTATTGTGTTTCAGTGATCAATGTGTCTGCTTTTATGGCAGAACCACACAGTTTTGACTACTGTAGCTTTATGATATAAATGGAAATCAGAAAGAGTGGTTTTTCCAGCTTTGTTCTTTTGGCTGAAGATTTCTTTAGCTATTTAGAACATTTTCTGGTTCCATATGAATTTTAGAATTCTTTTTCTATTTCTGTGAAAAATGCTGTTGGAATTTTGATACAAGTTTCATTGAATCTGTGGATCACTTTGGGCTGTATAGACATTTTGACAATATCAGTTAATCCAGTTCATGAGTATAGTATATCATTTATTTTGTCTTCCTCAATTTTTTCCATCAATGTTTTATAGATTTCAGTTTATATATTTTTAATCTCCTTAAATTTATTTTTAAATATTGCATTCTTCTTATGGCATTTTTTTAATGTTTTTTTTCAGATAGTTTGCTGTAAGTATATAGAAATGCAACTTTTTTTTTAATTTACTTTTTTCTTAATTTTAGATAAAGGTAATACATGTGCAGTCTTGTTATATGAGTATGCTGTGTAATGCTGAGCTTTGGAGTACAGAGCCCATCACCGAGCTAGTGAGCTTAGTACTGCATAGGTAGTTTTTCAACCCATGACACCCTTTTTCACTTCCCCCTCTAGTAGTCTATGTTATGTCCATGTGTGTTCAACATTTTAGCGACCATTTATAACTGGAAACATGCATGGTTTTCTGTTCTTGAATTAATTTGCTTAGGATTATAACCTCTAGCTGCATCTATGTTGCTGCAAAGGCCATCACTCATGCAAAGGATATTATTTCTTTTTTTATGGCTGCATAGTATTCTATGGGGTATATGTACATTTTCTTTATCCAGTTCAATATTGATAGGCTTCTAGGTTTAGTCCATGTCTTTGCTATTGTGAATAGCATGGCAATGACCATACAAGTGCATGAGTCTTTTTTGATAGAGTGATTTGTATATGTTGATTTTGTACCTTGCAACTTTACTGAGTTCATTTTACAGTATTAATAGTTTTCTGGTGAAGTTTTTACTTTTTAGATATAGTACTATGTAATTTTCAAACAGAAATAATTTTACTTCTTTATTTCTGATTTGGATGACATTTATTTCTTTTCTTTCCCTCATTGCTCTGGCTAAGACTTTCAGTACTATGTTGAGTAGAACCGATGAGCATAGACATCCTTGTCTTGTTCCATATCTTAGAAGAAAAGCTTTCTTATTATGGAGTATAAGGTTAGCTGTGAGCTTACCATATGTGACCTATATCATACTAAGGTACATTTCTTCTATCCTTAATTTGTTAAGGACACAGAAAAAGAAATAACAAGATGAAAAGGCAACCTACAGAAGGAGAAAAGAATATATGTAAACCATACAGCTGATAAAGAGTTAATATCCAAAATACATAAGGGACTCATATTGCTCAATAGAAATAAAAATAAATAACCTCATTTTCAAATGGTTAAAAGATCTGAGTAGTGTATGAAAAGGTGTTCAACGTGACTAATCAAGGAAATGCAGATGACCACAATCATATGTTCCTTCATGCCTATGCGAAAGGCTATTGTTAAAAAATCAAAAGATGACTATTGTTGGAAAGAATGTAAAGAAAAAAAAGAACCCTTGGACATTGTTAGTGGGAAAGTAAAGCGGTACAGCCATTGCAGAAAACAGTATGGCATGTTCTCAAAAATTTAAATAAAACCACCATATGATCTAGCAGTCCCACTTCCAAGTATGTATCTGATGAAAATAAAATCACTGTCTCAAAGAGAGATATGAATTCCCATGTTCATTTCAGCATTATTTACAATAGTTAAGATATGAAACAACCAAATGTTCTTCAACAGACAAAGGGCTAAAGTAAGTGCCATATATATATATATATATTTTAACAGTGCAATATTGTTCAGTAAAGGAAATGCTGCCATTTACAACATGGATGAAACTACAGGACATTTTGCTAAGTACAATAAATCAGACACAGAAAGATAAATACCTCATGATCTAACTCATATGTGGAATCTAAAATATTCAAACTCAAAAGAGCAGAGAGTAGAAGGGTGGTTGCCAGAGGCAAGAAGGTGGGGGAAATGAGAACATTTTAATCAAAGTGTACAAACTTTCAGTTATAAGATGAAAAGTTTTAGGTACTTAGTGTACAGAATGTTGACTATGGTCAATTACATATTTTATACTTGAAAGTTATCGAGAGAGTAAGTATTCTCACCACACACATGAAAAAAGGTAACTATGTGAGGTGACAGATATATTAATTAGCTTGATTGTGCCAATTATTGAACAACATATTTGTATAACAAATATATATATATTTACATAATTGCCTTATGCAAAGTTGTAATACAAAAATAAATTCTATTTCTGTATGTCAACATAAAGAATTACTATGCCTAGGGCTATGAAATATGAAAATACAAGAAGTCAAAGGGAACAAAAGTTATCTTAAAGAAGAGCAAGTCTAAGTCAAATACCACATATTCTCACTTGTAAGTGAGAGCTAAGCAATAGGCAAACGTGTTAATCAAAAGACATCTTTAATAGAGTGAAAGTAAATTTGCAATGTCACATATTTGAAGTACATGTCACCAATAACGTATTGATATTCTTGTTACATACAACATTTTGAATCAATAGTAAAATCAAATATCCCTATTTACTTAGTGTACAAAATATTGAACAAGACTTTCAAGGAAGAGGAAATTCAAGTGGCTAGTAAACATGAAAATGTGCTCAATGTCATTAATGTCATGAAAAGGCACGTCTAATTACACATACTCATCAGAATTTCTCAAATAAAAATGAATTACAGTATCCAATGTTGTTACAGATAAGGAGCAACTGGAATTTCTATACAATGCTGGCATGACTGTAAATTTATACAGCCACTTTAAAAAACTATTTGGCAGAGTCTAATATACTAGAACATGTGTAGACCTTCATTTACTTTTTGCTGTGTAACAAACCACATCCAAACACAATGGGTTAAAAAGTCCTTACTTGTCTTTTTGGGACTGCTCTATTTCACTTAGGAAAAGAGAAGTAGTTTAATGAGTGCAGAGTTTCTGACTGGCAAGATGAAAAAGTTCTGGAGATCTATTTTACAATAATATGAATATACTTGACACTACTGAACTTTACACTTAAAATGGTTGAGATGTTAAATTTTGCATTGTTTGGTTTTTAACATTTTTAAAACGTTTTATTTGCTTTTGTGTCTGCAAGTCAACTTAAGGATCTAAGGTGGGCTTAGAATAGTGGCTCTCCTTCAAGCTGCATGTCTCTTGGGTTTGACCCCTTTTGGTAGATTGGGGTTAGATTTGCATCAGCTACATTCATGCTAGAGCCCAAATTAAAAGAACACAAGTTACTTGGGAAAAAAGCTCTTTTCACGGTGATAGCAGAAAACTTGCAATGCTTCTTTCGGCCAAGGGTTGGAACTGACTATCACTTCTGCCCACATTTCATTGGTTAATGTAAATCCCAATAAAAAGCCCAAAGTTCAGGGGTAGGAAATTATACTCTGCCTCCCACAAGAGAAACTGAAAAGTCATATAGCAAAGGACATAGAACGGAATAAAGAACTGTTGCTAAAAATTTGATCTACAGCAGTATGCTGTGACTCAGCGGTTTCACTGTTAGTGGATACCAAATAAACTGAGTCGTATGTTAGTTTAAACAGTACAAGTATGTTCTTCCTGGAGAACATCATTCTCAGCAAACCGACACAAGAACAGAAAATGAAATACCGCATGTTCTCACTCATAGGCGGGTGTTGAACAATGAGAACACATGGACACAGGGAGGGGAGCACTACACACTGGGGTCTGTTGGGGGGAATAGGGGAGGGACAGCAGGGGATGGGGAGTTGGGGAAAGATAGCATGGGGAGAAATGCCAGATATAGGTGAAGGGGAGGAAGGCATCAAATCACAGTGCCTCGTGTGTACCTATGCAACAATCTTGCATGTTCTTCACATGTACCCCCAAACCTAAAATGCAATAAATAAATAAAGAGTACAAGTATGTTCTTAGCACCGGTTTCCACTATAGCCCAAATCTGGAAATAATCTAAGTATCCATTAAAGTTAGTACAAATAAATTGAAGAACATTCAAATCATTTATTGTTGTACAACACTGAAAATATGCTATTACATTTAATAATGGGTAAATTTCACAAACATTATTTAAGTGAAAGAAAACTAAACAAAAACCTTATATATTCTGTAATTCCACTGATAAATTTCAAAAACTGAAAAAAATCAATATAGGATCATAGAAGTTCAGAATAATGGTGTGTCAGGCAAGAAAGTGGTTAATGTTATACTTCTAAATCTCATTGTGGGTTTGTGTGTGTCACTTTGTGAATCCAGCTATAGACTTTAATTTGTATATGTGGGTTGCACAATAATAAAAGGTTCTTAAAATTTAGGAAGGAATCAGATTGAAAGGCTAAGTTGAAAATACAAGAGCAAAGGAATAATGGACAGTTTCTAATATATGGATATAAATTGTTTAATACACAAAATACAATTTTTTTATTATTTTATACTCCATAAATTAAAATTCCATGAGGACAAGAACTGTATCTCATTTATCTTTATATCTTTGAAATGATCAGAATAGTCTGAGTCACAGAGTAGTTGTTCAGTAAATGCATATTTAATAAAATTTTTGACATTCTGTTTGTAGCAAAATTATCTAATAAATGAATGAATAAATACATTGCTACAATGATTCTGATTAATTTTATAATTGGTTATCACATGTCAGTTACTTTCTGTTTTGGAAAATGAACTTACACCGATTTTCATTTGTATGCTGGCATTAGGCATTTCTCCCTACTATTTTTCACAACCTGCTCTCAACCTAAAACAGGCTGGGGGCCTGGCTATGAGCCATCTTGTCAACAGCCCAGAGACAAAATTGAACTTCAGAGATCTGACACTTTAAATGAATTACTTCCTTCTCTCCTCTTCTTTTTAACTATTTCCATTTCAGGCTGAGACTTATTATCCTGACTGTGCAGGAGAAAGAATATAGAGGATGTGCAGGAGAAAAACTGAGAAAAAGAGGGGTATTTGGCTTTCAGCCATTAAGCTCTACTTGAAGAGATGCCCGTAGAGCAAAGAAGTGAGATAGGACTCTGAAATTCAGACCATGAGAAGGAAGAACAAGCAAAGATGTGAAGGAACGCCAGGCATAATTTTAAAAGAAGGAACTATTAAGAAGAGAAGAGAAAAATAAGATGGGCAGTATGAAAACATCAGGTGATTTTGAAATGCTCTTTGAAGCAAAATAACAGAAGTTGAAGTTATTCAGTTCAAGGGCTGCAGATTCACACTCTTGCACCTGTTTGACAAGGGAGAGAAGAAATAAGGGTAAATGGGCTGGGATGTTTGGAAAGATGTTACAATAAATCTTCATGTCTTATCATGTGTCATCTCGATCTCCCAAGGCCCTGTAGAGTTTGGAGAGTGGGAATTGTGCTGGGGAAGGTCTGGAAAATCTTCATCCAGAGTAATGATTCACATAAACCAGAGATCTGTTTGGGCTGAGGCTAGATAAATAAACCTATGCTTTTCATTTAGGCTATAAATCTGATATTTTAAGGTGTAGTACAGCCACATTGTTTCATAGTACTTCTTCCATTCTACTCAGATATCCAATAATTACTTAGGGTTTCATTAATATGGCTGACACATCTCCATTAGAAATTACATTCTTTGCATGTTTTATATCTGTGAACAACATGGCTTTTACATATTTATATTGTCTATTAAATTAACTAGTATGAAATTTGCTATTTAATTTTTGGTCTAAAAATTGATTAAATAAATCGGGCCTCAAGGAATATGTTTCTGTGTAATGATTCCTCCTAAATTCACCTTATTAGTATATTAATACTTTACCTTTGCTCTAATTTGTTAATATATTTACCTAATATAGTTATTCTTGCCTTAATGGTACCTATTTTAAATCATCTCAAATACTTTCTGGAATGAGATATGTTCATATTACTTAGGACTCTTTAAGTTGTAAATAACAGACAATCCAATTCAAACTGGCATTAGCAAACAGTAAATCTGTTGGCCCACATAGGCTGAGAAGTCTAATGGTATGATGGTTTCAAATTCAGCTTGATTCAAAGTTCAAACTATTATCTGGATGCATCTCATAGCTCTGCTTCTTGTGACTTGGTTCTGTTTTTAGCCTAAACACAGTAGTCTCGACACTTTCAGCTTCTAAAATCTAGTCAAGAGGAAGAAAGAATTTGTTTCTACAGATGTTAAAACAAGCATCATGAGATTTTTTTTTTGTTCCTGATTGTCCACAGTTGGAGCATACGTACATCCTGAACCTAATATTACAGTAAAGAAACTCCAATGTCCTGACCACCTAACTGAATTAGTGCATGGCCCCTATTCCTCTCTGAAACTTTAGGATAAAGAGATTAGATGAGACTGGGGACAAAACAAACCAAAATAAAATTGGGCCACTATTATAATAAGTAGTAGGAGTGAAATTTGGGAATAAATAACCAAAACCAAATGTCCAGCATTTCAGTATATTTAATGCCACTCTTCTCGCTTCTAACTTCTATGGGCATCATTTCTTTCTCTCGGTAACCTTTTTGCTCTTGGTATCATTGCAGATTATTGAGGAGCTCTCACTGTGCACCAATGTATTGTTAGAGGTCCTCAACATCCATTGACATAGGGATAGAAAGTGATGTGGACATTCTATTGATTAGGTG